CTCCTTCCCCTTCATTTACCAGGCCTTATTTTCCCCTCTTCTACATCTCTTGGCTCTTCTTTTAAAAAGAGCTGCCATTCAGCTATGAGGAGTGATGTGAGCACAGAGCATTTGAGCTGAGGCTGTGCTCTTCCCAGATAGCCCTAGCCATTGACTGGGCACAGTAGGGTTACTAAGAGTTCTCTGTGCAACCGTGCACTGGAACTTACCGACTCTTTCAGATCTGCATCACAGTCTAAGCTTCTTTCTGCTCAATCCTGCTTTCTCCTCCTTTATCTATCATAGATCCCCCGCCATCCAGTAAACTTCCACTCACCTACCTCCATCTTAGTACCAGGAGGAACTGAACTGACACAGCTATAGTTGACGCACCCCTCCCATGGACCTCTAAGCCCCAGCCTCCAGGACCAAAGGATGGCCATATCAAAACCGGTCCCCGAGCTTCATTTCCACATCTGTCAAGTCAGGACAAGTCCTCCTCCATCACCTGCACTCTCATGAGCTTTGTCTTCTTCCTACGCATAGCTGCAGCTCCACCAGAAGATCCCCACCTTCCCCCACCCATGCAGTGCTAGGCTCCCTTGGAGGGAATAGCCCTGTGTCTAAGTCACAGTCACATCCCCAGCTCCTGTCACAGGGCCAGACCTGTAGGTGGTGATGTGTGAGGGGTGAAGGAATGATATTCCCTGCATGCTGTTACAGAAGGGATGAAGGGAATATTTCTTCTTTTTCTATTTTTTATAGAAGCCTTTTATTTTTTATGCCTATTATGCCATGAATTCATGGGGAATAGGTTCCAGCAGCTCGGGCTCCTTCCCATTGGTTCTCACACAGAGTGGGCTTCTCTGGGTGGAGCAGGCTGGTGCTTCAGGTGAACCCAGGTAACTTTTCTCTTTGGCTTCTTTCTTTTTCTGATCATTTTCCTTCACATGTTCTAGGAAGTTTTCTCAGCTCTTAGAGTGCTTAATATGCTCAACGTGAACATTAATCCTCTTGGCAAGAATCTTGCCTTTAACCTGTTTCTTTACAATGCCAACAACATGCTGGGTAACATTGCAGACGCGTCCAGTTTTGCCATGGTGACATTTGTGTGCCATGCCTTTTTGAACAGTGTCCATTCCCTTGATGTCTACAATATCACCTTTCTTGTAGATTTGCATATACCTGGCCAAAGGAACAACTCCGTGTTTTCTAAAAGACCTAGAGAACATGTGTCGGGTGCCTCTCCTCTTCCCCTAAAAGATGTTCATCATTTTAGTGAATTACTGGAAGATGGCATCTCTGGCTGAAAGGTGAATATTTCTTCTTTAAATGCCTCTCCATGCTTCTCCCCTCCTCTCCACCAAACCACAGCTTGGAGTTAAAGAACCCCTCCTCACAGGAAAAAATGGCCCCAAAGAAGAGGCAGCCAGGGAAGTTGTGAACACTTCCTATCCCTGGGGCTTTATCCAGACCCACCGGATGGATAAAGACGTAGAGGCGTAGGTCCCTCCAGCTCAGAGGCCCAGAAAGGGCAAACACTGCCTACATTTAGACAGCAGTGTGGGTGGCTCTGGAAGGGGAATTCTGGAGCAGTTACTTCCCAAACCAGGTAGTTTCCTCACCTCTCCCTGGCCTGGCTTCTCCTATGCAAGTCAAGGTTACACTATGGCCCTGAGCCTCCTACTCCACCACAGAACCTTGCCACCATTGAGCTCCTGAGTTGGGAGGCTTGATGGCAGTGAGTGCATGATTCTGAGAGGAGACGAGGGTGGCACACACCACAGGGATAAGGCAGGCAGGAAGCCAGACAGGCTCAGAATGAGTAACTGCAGATTCCCTTTCCACCGTGCCTGTTGTCACGGGAGATGGCAAGTGACTTTGCTTCTCTCTCTTTTCCCCCACCTCCTGCATCCTTTGCAGCCCTGAGATTCTGGCATCCGGAAGGGAAGTGGGAGCTTGGGCCAGAGACTGGGGATAGGTTTTAAGGGATCCAAGAAAGGAGACCTCAGAACAGAACACCCCAGAGAGGAATCCATGAAGGAAAGGCACGGGGGAGCAGAGAGCAGGAGGTGGCTATGGCCCTCCTCCCCAGACCTGGACTAGGGAGACAAAGGCAGACTCCAGAGGGGCTCAGGCTTTGGACAGAGTGGGAGACGAGGAACAGATTGCTGTCACCGCTTTCCATTCTCTCAAGTAGCCTATCTGCCCCACCTTTTCTCCTGACATCCTGCCCCCTCCCAAAAGCCCTCCTAGATCACCTGGCTGAGCAAAAGGGATGAGCTTTTGATGACTCCCTCATCAGATTCCACAGGGTTCTCCAAGAGTGGCCCATGGTTGACCCCTTCCCAGTGCCTCAGAATATAGGATAGGACAGTTGGGAATAAGTAGTTAAACATGTTCACACTTAGTGTTGGTTGAATTTTATAGGTTTTTGTTTGGTTTTGCTATTTCCTTTTTTCTGCTCCTTTCACTACTGAATATCTTTTATGCCCTTTGATATTTAAGGAAGGGTGGGTCCTCTAGGGGAACAACTCTGAAAAAATAAAGAAGTGATTTTTACCACAAAGAATCTGCAGGGAAACTGTTCTCCCTGGGTCACCATCTCTCATCCTGTCCCGGGAGGACTACAAGGGGATCAAGGGACCCTGCTGGTCACTCTCAACACCTCCAGCCTCCAGCTGAGGAGGGGGTAATATGCACCACCTTCCAGAGTGAGGGGAAGAAAACCCACCCCTTCTGGTAGCCTTAAGTTTGCCTCTCCTTCCTTCCTCACCCCACCAATCAGCCACCCATTGGGGCTCAATCACATGGCAAGGTGGGGACTGGCTCCCTCCTATTCCCCACAACAGTGCATCTCAAGTACCTAAGATGTATGTCCTCAGAGAGAGTAGAACTTTAACAGGCCAGGGGGATGGAGCATTCATGGCAGGGTTCCAGCATCCTGCAGCATGTGCGTGTGTTGAGGCCTCCATCTGCAGAGCTGGGGATTTATGAGAGCCAAAGCCACAGATTTGCTCTTCACATCCGGGCTCCTAGGATACCATGTCAGCAGAATAAGGACATGAGTCTGCCACCTCGCTAAGGAACTGGGATCTGAGAGGGGAAACACAGGGTTACAAGGAGAGGCAAAGACCCCTGATTCCTGAGCTATCAGTGGTCCCCAGGAATGCAGACAGCTGAGGAGATGTCTGGTGGTCATTCCATCATTGGAACACTCTCTCCACTGGAGGCCTTGGGCCCAAGCCCCAGAAGGGTCAGGGTGTGTGCCCAGGCTCACTAATTATATCTAGAGGGGAGTGGAAATCATGGGGAGCACAACAGCTCCCGGGTCCTCCTCTGGCAAGGAAGTGACTCCAGTCTTCTCCACCTCTGTACCCTTGGTGTGCAGCACAGGGTCTGGGGCACAAAAAGTGATTAATAAACGTTCATGGGAAAGAAAAGGGAAGGAGAGAACAGAGGGAGGGGATAAGAAGAAAGGAAGGAGGATGGATGGTGGAAGGGAGGAAGGAAGGCCAAGCAGGAGAGGGAATAGAAAGCAAGTGTAAGCCCTCCAGATAGACACGGAAGAGGAGGGTTGAGGAGCTCATCCTTTCCCAGCTTTCCCTAACTCCCCTCAAGCCCACTCCATGGCAGTGGCCGAGTTTCCCTCACCATAGGGAGGGAAGGTCTGGGAGGTCCTCTGGGAACGCCAGCGCACCAGCTGCTCGGTCGGCGGCTGGAGCTGGACCACCTTCCAGCCGCACATCCTGCTATGACCGTGGGAAAACGGAGCCTCTCCACTGAACACTGCCCTTCCTCCTGTCACACTGATCTACTACCCACCCCATCCCACCCCCACAACCACCACCTCCAGGCTCAATTGTGCGCGTTCGAAAGAAGGCAAGTCAGCCACTTTCGCTTGGTCCGCAAGAAGACGCTCTCCCAGCGCACAGAGCTGGTGACTCCGCGCCCCATTCTAGGGGCAAATAGACGGAGCCCTAAGAACCAGAAGTGAAAGGAAGCTGGCAAGATGTCACCCAGGCGCCGAGCCGCCCCTTCTCGGAAGCGCAGCATTAGAGGCAGGCAGCCCAGGTCCTCACCCTTCTCTGAACCCCAATCTCCCTGGCTGCAAAATAGTGAAAGCTGGTGAGTACGAGGTCTCTGGTTCCTTTTAGGTCAGCGGCCGAGTCAACCCGCGGGCTGGGAACAGACCTTCCCTCTCCGCGCGAGGGCGCTGGAACTTAGGCCCAACCTTCCTTGGGAAGTTCCCAGGACAGAGATAGGAGGGCGTGGACGCACTGTCTCCCTTGGTCCTCCGGGAGTTCTAAGGCTGGGACGCTCATTTAGTGCCAAGACCCCCGCTAAGTCTTCTGGGACAGAGCTGGCTGGGAGAAACCCAGAGTACAGCCTCATTCGCACCGTCTCTTTCCCTCCCTAGCCCAGCCTCTTCGGCGCGAAGGATGAGTTGGAGTCGTTGAAAATGGATCAAACAATGCGCCCCACCTACTCGTGGTCGCTGCCAGCCCTAAGCCCCGTGCCGAGTGCTGGCTCGCTGCGTGGGGAGATGATTGTCGCTTTCTGTCTGGTAATCGGGTCTACGCGCCCAAGCCCTCCGAGCTGCAGAAATGGGAAATAAGGAGGCTGCTGGAGAGGCCTCCCAGAGGAGGTGGCTCCGAAGGTAGAGCCCTGGAATGGGGTTGAGGGGGAGTGCGGAGGTGAGAGGCCACAGCCAGGCTCTTGGGAGTGTCGCAAGCCACGCAGGGGCGTGTTGGGATCTCAAGATTCCCCAGGGGCCGAAGGCCTGTGAAAGCTTCACCACGGAAGACTGACGTGTGGATTAGCTGAGCGAGCCCGGGGACTCCCCTCTCCGCTGGGCGCTCGGCCCCGCCCCACACCTGCACGGCGGCCCCGCCTCCTCCGGTCCATTGGCTAGACCCGCCGCCCATCAGACGAGCCCCCAGGGCCCGCCCCAGCCCCAATCCGTGCTTCTTAGCGCCTCTTAGCGCCTCTTAGCGCTGGGGCCGCCGCGCCAGCGCCAGTCTGCCAGTTTCCCGGCCATCGCCCGCGTGGTGAGCTGCCCGGCAGCCCACTACCGGCTCGGGACCGCCCGCCACGGGCTCAAGGCGGACCATGCGCCTGCCAAATCTGCAGCCCGCCCGCTGGCTATGCGTGCTGGCAGGCGCCCTAGCCTGCGTCCTCCGCCCCACGGTGAGTGTCCACCGGGTGGCCCAGAATCCCTGCACCTAGAGTTGGGGTGGGGGCGGCGGGAGCCCGACCGTTTGTGCGCGCGTTTGTGTAAAGGGTATGAGTGGCACCGGGTACCCATCTCGCTTCTTCCCTTTGCCCCAGACCGGATCTAGACCCAAGGTAGGGGTCTTGATAGTGCCCAGTACCTCATGGCTCAGCATGAAGACTGACCTTCCATTTAGTGGCTATGGGTGTGTGTGGAGTGGGGAGGCCAGTGAGGGATACTGTGGTTGATTGAGATGGAAGCTCTGGTACACTGTGGGTCGTCATTGCATGCCGTTCTTGTCTGGAGGTGTCTGTGGGTTGTCAGCAGCAATCCCAGCACTGGGTCTGAGAAGGGGTTCTTGGGATCACAAGGGTGACAGACCTCAGTGCCCTTCCACTGAGCAGAGCAAAAGGATACTGGAACCCAAGGTGGAAGATGGTGGACAGTGAGGTGTTAGGGGTGGTATTTAACAGGAGGGGTCAGGCATGTGCCTGGAGAAAGCAAAGCAGGAAGCCACCAGCCAACTAGCAGTGACCTCCCTCTTCCTCCCACCTCTGCTTCTTCCCAACACAGGCATGTGAATGCCCCTGACACATGTGTACCCATGTGCCCTGTGTGTGGGTGTGCTTGTGTATGTGTCTGTGAATAACTCACCTGGGGCACAGGAGAGACCCAGGGGCATGGATCATCATATTCTAAGAGCAAGAAGACCTCAGGGCTCACTGAGTCTACCCAATCCCATTTTACAGATGGGCAAACTGAGGCCCAGAGACACAAGAGCCAACACCTGTATCCCATGAGCCAGACCTGGACAGAGGTCATATTTCTCCCTACCCCTACCCTGATCCTTGAGTAATCTGAAGTTGCTGCTTGGGCAGGCCTAAAATGCCCACTCCAGATTGGCTGGGGGAGGATGAGTGATCTTGATTATCTAGTCTATCCTATCTCATGATCACCTCTCTTACCATCACCCCCTCCAGGGGAGAAACATCTGTTTCCACCTAGTTGATGCCTTGTACACCCTGGGGATGGGAAGTTCATCTGATAATTGTTAGGAACCCCTCCTCCTTCCACTGATAGTCATGAGACCCACATCCTGAGCTCTTGAAACCTCACCAAGTTTTGGCCCTGAGGCCACAGCTCTGGCACTAGCCTCAGTCTGTCAGGGTCATGAAGCCTCCAGATCTCATTGACAACCCTGGGCCCCCAACCACTGAAACTCATCTTGAATGAGCAAAGGATATTGGGACAAACAGCACTGATGCCCCATTCCCCATCCCTGAAGGCTTCTGGGCCCAGGGCAGAGTGGCTTCATCAGAGCCCCCCTCACACCTCCTGAGACAGCCCATCCCTGACCCTTCCAATGCCTGCCTTCCCTATCTTTCCACATCTTATTCATTTAGTGCCCAATGCTGTCTCCTCCTCTAGATAGCCTTCCCTGATTGCTACATACAAGCCCTCTGCCCTCTCCACTCCAACTTTCAGCCCTGCTCACCTCCCAGTTGTGACTGTCCTAACCATCTCATGGAGTCAGGGACTGGTGTCTCTCCGGTATTCCTCACAGCTCAGTGCAGGGCTGGCACCCAGGGCAAGGAGAAGGGACTGAGCCAGGACTGGATGAGGGCAGGCTGGAGTGAGGGTTTCTCATTTCCCTCTCTGTTTCTCCCTTCTCCACACCAGCTACCACTCACCCCCTCCTGGAATGGACACCAGGCAGTCCTGCTCCAGCCAGACTTGGGGGTGGGGTCTGGGGGGGCAGACCTTATCAGAGTCATAAAATGGCAGCTGCAAAGTTCAGGTTGAAGGCCTAAGGCTAAGTCACTCCTGTTTATGGTGCCCTGACCTCAGCCTAGGAAAGGGAAATCTCTGAACATGAGGGGAAAAAAGGGGGAAAGAAAACCTCTAGTGTCTCAGAGGAAGAAGTCTGCCCCAAGGCCAGCTGTCAGGCCTTCCACTACCCTGCCCCCTGGACTGCAGGCACAGGGACTTCTCACTGATAACAGAGTTGCCCAGGGCAATTCCCAGCACAAGGGAGAGTGCCATAGGTCACAGAGGAGGAACAGACCTGTCTGTGTTCCTGCCCTGAGAAGATTCTCTGCCCTGGGCTGAGACCAGACCCAGAAACTTGGGAGGGAGAGCCCAGGTGGATGGGGAAGACAGGCTCCCAGAACTGGGGGCAGGGGTTGCTGAGAGAAACAGTCAGGGAAAGACAGTGCCCTGAACAGTTTAGCCAAATGGACCAACTTTTTACCCCAGATCATAAAATAGCCTCGGTTAGCAGGACTGATGCCCTTGCCCCCAGAAAGAGGGGGAAGTTCCCAGCTCCCTGCAGAGTCTGAGATAGCCCAGGGGTTGAGGGAGGCTTGCATCCTCAAATGGCTCTCTCACTGGCCACCAGCTCCTCAAGGTCTCACGTTGCCATAGGCATCCTACTGCCCCTGCCACCTGTTTCTAGCCCCTCCAAAGGCTGTCCACCGCTGCCCAGGCTCTCTTGGCTCCCAGCAGGCCACTCTGTGAGCTGTGGGAAACACAGCTAAAGTTGGGCCTCCTCCTCAAGTTAAGTGACAATCTCAGTTAGGTCCCCCAGAGCCCTGGTGGAAGGAGTTCCCTTTGGAAGTTTCCCCCCTCTCATCCTGATGCTCTAGAGTTTCTGAGGCTTCCATGCGGATGGAGCCCAAGCCAGGGCCAGGAGACCTGCTCCTCACTCCACACCATAACAATGGTCAGTTGGTCAGGGGAACATCTTTAATCTCTGGGCAAGGGCCTCAGTTTCCTTTCCACAAAAGGAGGTGGTAGGGAACTGGGAAGAGGCTTGCCTGGAGCCAGTTCCATCTCCCAAGTGGACATACTCTTACACTGGGGTGCACTGTCTCTGTGAAATGGGATTGGTCTTCCAGGCAGGACTTCTGTGAGCTTTGAAGGATGCAGTGAAAGTGGTGGTATGAACTGTGTAACCAGTCATCCCTTCCCCTTGGTCCCAGCTTGGAACTTTAGACAGTCGTCTCTTGCCCCCACCTGCCAGGAATCCCCAGGGCAAGCAGGTATCCTAGGAGTGAAGTGGGGAGTGACCTCATGAAGTGGCCAGATAATCTTGGTGGGTGAGGCTTCAGGCTCAAGGAGGCAGTGGCGCCTCTCAGAGAGGGCTGGGAGGTGGATACTGAGTCTTCTTATACCACAGGCAGCCTCAGTGGAAATCCAGCATGGGCCACGACACAAGAGTAGGGCCTCTAGCCTGCTACCCTCCTGCCATTGCTGGGCCCCTCAATGTGGCCCTTCTGGCTGTGGATGAGGAACAGGGTCTGGGGACTATATGAAGCCTGTCCCTGTCTCCCAGTCCTTTTCTGTCAACCTCCCAGACTCTGACCTCCCATTTGACTTTCCAACACAAAATGGTTTTCATTGTACCAAGGAAAATTTCAGCATATATGTACTCTCTCTAATACCTTAGAAGTATTTCTGAAGGCGAAAAAGAAACACAATTTAATCTCTCCATCACTTGTACTATTCTTTTTTTTAAACTTTTATTATAAACAATTTCAAACAAGTAGAGAGAATGCTACCACGAACATGGAAATGCCCAATCCCTGGGTTTGACAATTGTCAACATTTAACATTATGTGCATTATTCACTTTTTGGCTGGAGTATTTATTTTAAAGTAAAATATAGACATCCTGACCTTTTGCTCCAAATTATTTCAAAACACATCTCTAAAACCAAAAGAACTTTTTCCTATATAACTATGATACTGTCATTATACTTAATAAAATTAACAGAGATCCTTTATTCAAACATTCAATATTCAAATATCCCCAATGAGAATTTGATCCAGCACCACAAGATGAGTGGTGATGTCAACAGGGGTTTGGTCTTATTACAGGACTATACAGCAAACTGGCAGGGTGGGTAAGGAAGGTGGTGGGGGGTAAGCCTTGGCAGTGAACATCAAGCTGGGCTCTGCTGGGCAGGGTCATTTTTACCCGCATCCCTTCTCTTGTGGCTCATGAGATAAAGAGGATTCATATCTCTCAGGAAGTGCCACTTACTATCTAACTTAAAAACAAGTTCTTCCTGAACAGTGAGTCACCAAAAGAGAGAGAGCCGTCCCCAGAGGAGAGGAAGAGGTCACCAACCAACGTCTATGTATGGAGGACTTGCAGCCTTGTAGCTCCCTGTGCTGGTGCCCAGCCTTTTCCAGGTAGCCACGACATTGATATCACCCACAAATGTCATGTGTGTAAACTGAGTCCTGCAAACCCCAGTTCCCTAGGTGTGGCCAGGATCACTTTCAAGGGGCAGGGGATTTAAACGGAATGCTTAGCCAGAGTCTCTGCTGTCCCTGCTTTGCCAGCCCACCACTACAGCGATCCTCTGCAAAGAAACCTGGACGGCTTCATGCCCCAAAGGAAACATTTCAAAAGCTGTTAAATGAACAAGCTGAAGGTCTTTGCTTGGATTCTACTAATTACAAGAATTCTTGTCCTTGTACCACTATGAGCTGTGAAAAGTTTTTTCTGGCCCCAAACCCAAACCTGTATCCCTATGTCCCCCACCACTACACACAGACACAGATATACACACACACACACCAGTTCTTATTCTGCTCTTCTATCACCCAGAAATCAGCCTTCCCTAAGAGGAGGTGAGGCTGGGAAAATTTGGATTTGCAGAGAGGAGGCTTTTGCTTCTTAGCAAAAGGATGTAAAAACACAGGGAAAAGGCCAGGAGTGGTGCCTTACAGCAATAATCTTAGCACCCTGGAAGGCTGAGGCAGGATTGCTTGAGCTCAAAAGTTTGAGACCAGCCTGTGCTAAGCAAGACCTGTTTCTACTAAAAATAAAAAAATTAACTGGGCATAGTGGTGCACACCTGTAGTCTCAGATACTCAGGAGGCTGAAGCAGGAGAATCACTTGAACCCAGGACTTTGAGGTTGCTGTGAGCTAGAATGATGCCACACCACTCTAGCCTGGGCAACA